TTTATAAATATAATTTAGATTATTTATTTTATAATTAAATTATTATTTTTAAATATTATATGAGTTTACATAGGAAAAATGTATTGAAACACCTCGATCTTTGAGGGTACCGTAGCAACTCCCTTTTTAGAATACCTTCTGTGAGGTAATTTTAAAACGTATTTTCCCACTCGTTAACTCAAGAATTTAGTTTACAATAAATACATATATAGTTTCAAATTATGTTGACAATTATACCCCCCAATCAAACTCATAAAAACAATACTTTATGATTTAATTATTTGATTATGGTGTGTGTACAAGTTGTTGGTATGTTCATTTTTAAAAACACGATAGTAAGTTATATTTTTGAATTTTTTTTAACAAATCTAAGTAGTAACTTACTAATATATTATCTCGTCAGTTGAAGAATATTTTAAGGAGCTAAATCTTTTAATTATTTTAATTGACCCAAAATTGTAATGTGATAACATGGTGTTTTTAACACGTATATATTTCAGTAAAAAAAAAAACGCACATATAAGACATATTAAATGAGTGAGGCAATACATTAAAAAAAATGAGTGAAGTATATATATATTTTTTTATTAATCTAAGATTAAGAGATGCAGAAAAAAATATGATTAAGAGAAAAAAAGATTTTGATGTTTTAAAGATGTGTTTAAAAATGTTGTGTCTAGATTCAAACTTTATTATCGTATTTATAGGAAAAAATTGTTTAAAAGAGTTTAAGTGAAATTAAATTTGGTGACGTCTTATTCCCTGCAAGGCTGCAATACTTGTGTGTGTGTGTGTTTTTAAGACCCCTGTAAGACTTGTTAAATACGTTGTTTAATTTCATTTTCATTTTTTTAATAATTTTCTTTAATTTAAAATCAATCCGTCTAATTATTACGTAGACGACAAAATAATATTTAAAAGAATTTAATACTAGTGAAAAGATATTAAGTGTATGAAGTGGCATGCTTATCCAAGAGCTGTCAAACTCTTGTCCACAGATCATTCACTCATTTCCTATAAATTACAATAAAATATTGGCATTTTTTTTTCCCGTGCAATAATTCTAAGTAATTGAAGTTATAAAAAACGATTATGGCTCCTGATATATATACTTCCTTTTTTTATAAGTACACCTCCTTCTTTTAATTTTTTTATTATAAAATATTATAATTTTTTTTAAAATTTTAATTTTACACTTTCAATTTTTAATTTGCTACTTTCTTCTTTTTATTCATACACTTTTTTTTTTCTCTTTCAATTTTCACATATTATCAAAATAGGTAGAGTGAAAGAAAAATAAGGGGGTACATGTAAAAATTAAAAAAAGGAGGAAAGATATGTGAAAAAAAAATACTAAATTAAATGTTTTAGATATAAAATTAAATTTTTTTAAAAAAAATTAAGAATATTTTAAAATTTTAATTATTTTTTTTAAAAGGAGGTGTACTTATAAAAAAAAGGAGGTGTATATATCATGAACCAACGATTATTGGTTTTTCACGTTTTGTATGATTGGGCCTTTTGAACCTTGTTCTGAACCGGTCCAAACACGTGACCCACATTGGAGATCCGACCCGAGTCGAAAAGAAAAATCGAATTGTTCCGCCGCACGCGGAGAAGAGTAACCATTTTCAGTTTTTCGCACATATTTCAGTCGCTTTAACTAAAAAGGGAAAATATTTAGTTTGCATCAGCCAAACACCAGAAATTACCCGTTGCCGCCAAAAACCAACCACTGAGCTTAACCTTAGGTACGCTTTCTCCCTTTGTTAAATTTCGTAACAAACTGCTTTGAGTTTGAAGCAATTAATTAACTCATGCGAACAGGAAGCAACAATGAAAGAAATCGTGACTATTCAAGTTGGTGATTTCGCCAACTTCGTTGGTTCTCACTTCTGGAACTTTCAGGTTTCTATGACTATTTTTGTAAAATTATATTTCAGAAATCGATTCATTTCGCATGCATTTTCTTTCAGTTGATTGTCTGTCTTTGACTGAAAGTAGAGTTAATGGAGAGTGTTCCTTGTTTAATGATATATTTTTTCATTTGTCTTCAATTTGTTAGGATGAGTTGCTTGGGTTGGCTGGGGATCCCTCTGCTGATTCGGTCTTCAAGAATCAGGATCTTAACATGGATGTGCTTTATCGTTCTGGTGAGACACAGCAGGTGCAATTTTCTGTAGTTGAACACTTGAACTAGCATTCAATATTTTTAAAATTAAATATATTGTATGTGACTAGAACTAGAAGTGTGATTTAGAAGATAGAATGAGATATTGTGTTTGGACTTTTCTGGTTGGTATGCTGCTTTCTAGTGTCTCCATTCCATGTGCCATTTCCATATTACCTATTGCACTAGTTCAAACATTAAAGTATGGTTTAATTTGATTGTATTACTGTTACCTGATATTCTTATTGCCTAGTTGGTATATTTTCAGTGGTTGCAAGGGAAAATAGGGACGGATGATCCAAATGTGTAGATTAGAAGCATTACACGCGATTCTTATGCTTACACCATTTTTGCTTAAATGTGTGCAGGGCATTCTTACATATACTCCTCGCCTAGTATCAATAAACTTGAGAGGTATTTAACTTATAAGTTTTCAAATTATTGTAGAAAATATGTGTTTTCCTTCTTGCCCTTTTTATAGGATCTATTTGCTGGCACCACTGTTAATTGAGTTGATGCTGTTATGTGACAGTGAATGGTTCGTGGTTGGTCTCACATTCAACTGAATCTGGAAACAGAATACTGATTAAAAAAAACTACTAATATGTAGTAGGACCAATGTAGTTGGCATAAACAGTATAGGTTCAGTAGTAATTGTTTAAATTTTTTGATACTACCAATAACCAACCTTTTATTTTGGACATGGAAATCAGGACAGCATGATAAGTTAATAGGCAAATTGTGCACAATATAAAACAAAATGACTCACTATAACATGGTTAAAGGTTATAGCTTGCTTTATTCATGAATCTAAGGAAGAGCAAGAGATTTGTCATAAAATTTAGGAAGCATGATACAGTGCTAAAAGCAGTAGACGACTTATTTTCACGTGAACGATTATTTACTATACTTTATGACCACGTTATTGGTATTCTAGCTTGGAAAGTTATTTATGAATAAAGAGTATACGATACCCAAGGTGTATATATATTGGTAGTAGATAGTACATATTTGAGATTGTTGATTTTTCTTGGAGGTCAATTCTATATGTTCAATTTTGATGTGGTTCCCACATATTTACACTTTCTATGCTACTTTCTACCCTTTCAGCCCTTAAAGAGCCGAAGAAAACACAATGTCTTGCCAATGTGGTGTTTCCTTCTTGGACTTCGATTTTTGTTTCAATATCCTTGCTACTTCCATTTGTTCTGTGTTAGTTTTGTCTTCTTCCAATCTCATGATGTTAAAATGTCTCGATGTAAGCTTATTTTAGCCTAGGATTAATTGTATAATTTCTTATCTTATTTTTTTCTTGGTGGAAGCATAATTTGTCCCTATCCCACTTGTATCTATTCTTAGGATTTTTTTAACCTTTTCAGGATCCCTTGGATCTATGAGTTCACGTGGTACATTGTATACAGAGATTGCCCACACAAAACCGGATGTTGTCACCTGGTGAGAGTTTTTAGTCTATCCTTTTATAATGATAGTTGAAGAAAGGTTCTGACATGGATAATATTAGGAATGCTGATTTCCGTTGTATGAATCTTCTCTTAGTTACTAGCTTTTTTAGTGAAATGGCAGTGGATTCATTGCTTTTCTTTTTGTAAATATTAGCAATATAGAGACGTTATATAATGTCAGTTTTAAATAGTTTTGACATATGAAATACCTGAAAACTGTAAGGGAGAGCGCAAATCTTTGCTACTCAGAAGCACACAAGAAGACCCAAATTTAAAAGTATGCACAAAAATTTGAAATGATGAATTTCCTCATCTAACTTGCAAACATTCTAATTTCTGTTTACTTGTATGAGTTGTATTATCTATTTATTGTTTGTGTTGAGCACCAACTTTAAGCCTTTCAGGGTAATGAAAATTTGAAATTGTTTTGCTTGCCTCTTTTTGTTAGTCATGAAATTGAAATCTACTTTATCTGTCATGATCTCTTGTTTAAATTCATTTTCAAATGCACTTAATGCCAATAGATCAATGTGCAGGACTGGTAAAGTTTCCACCCAAGCCTCTGAACCTTATAAAAAAAATTTGTTCCTACGAAGACTTTATGAAGAAGAGGAAAACTTGAATATGGTAAATGAGATCCATGATTCGAATAATGGTTCTCAGAGTGCGTATCAGGATAAGGATATAATTGAGTGCCTAGAAAATGGTGTACAGTGTTGGACAGACTACTCAAAAGTACATTATCACCCCCGGAGTCTCTATGAATTAAATGGAGTTTGGGCAAATGTTGAGGAATTTGACAATTATGGAATTGGAAGGGACTCCTTGGCTGCGCAAGGGGAAGAAATTAGTGATAGGCTTCGATTTTTTGTTGAAGAGTGTGATCATATACAGGTAACGGCTTTTTCTCTGTTTCAATATTGTAGTTGAGTTTGGCCGTTACTTCTCATGTATCTTTAACTTGAACCCTTTTTGTGAGACAATCGGTAGAAGCAATATCCAGCGGCAAATGGATTTTCTTTAATCTTTCACTCTTAGGAAAATTTGTAATCTTAGCTTTCATTTTTGTAAGAGCCTTTTTATATATGAGAATTCATTGCATTTGCATTTGCCTTGAAATGAGTAATTTAGTTCATTAATAAAGGAGAATTGTAGGAATTGTGAGTGTTGATCCACACATGTCGTACTGTATTGATAATTTTATAAGGAATTACAATCAAGGAAATCAGGAAAGAAAGATAAGAAAAAGATCCATAATCCCTATTTTTTAGTTTTACATATTTTTCATATCTTTAACACTCCCTCTCAAACTGGAGCATATATATCATATGAACCGTGTTTATTACAAATGCAAGCAACCTGAGGCCCCTTGAGAGATATAGTAAATATATCTGCCAATTGGTCATTGGAACTGACAAAGTCGGTGGTGATTTCACTAGAGAGCACCTTTTCCTTCACAAAATAACAATCTATCCCTATGTGTTTAGTCCGTTCATGGAAGACTGGATTAGATGTAATGTGAAGAGTAACTTCATTGTTGCAAATAAGCTTAGTATCTTGAGTGTCTCCAAACTGTAGCTGTTGTAGAAGTTGTCTAAGCCATGTAATTTCTCATGCAAATGCAACCATGGCTCAGTATTCAACTTCAATGCTAGATCTAACTATTGTATTTTGTTTCTTGCTTTTGCAAGAGATCAAATTTCCCCCAATAAGAACACAATAGCCAGAGGTGGACCTCTTATCCGATGGTGATCCTGCCCAATCAACATTAGGGTAATAGGCAATTTTAGCATTGCCTTTGTTTTCATATAATAGTCTGTGACCTGGTGCATTCTTGATATATTTGAGAATGCGCATGACAGCACCCTGGGGGCTATCACATGGGGCATTTAGGAATTGACTTACCACGCTTACTGCAAATGTGATATCTAGTCTGGTGACAGTAAGATAATTAAGTCTACGAACACGACGACAATATCTTATTGGGTCTTTCAATGGCTCCCCATGACACGGAAGAAACTTCATGTTAGGATCCATAGGTGTCACTTGGGCGACAATCAAGCATACTAGTCTCATTGAGAATATCTAAAACATATTTTCTCGGTAAAATGACTATGCCAAAGGTGGATTGAGCAACCTCAATGCCTAAAAAATATTTGAGCGGTCCTTGGTCTTTTGTTTGAAATTGACTCTGAAGGTGAGATTTGAGTCAACGAATGCCATCAGAATTGTCACCAATGATGACTTATGTCATCAATATAGGCCACTAGATAAATGCAGAGGCTAGATGGAGAGTAAAGAGAAAAGACAAAGTGGTCAACCTCACAGTAGGTCACACCAAATTGTAGTAAGGTAGAGCTTAATTTGCCAAATCATGCACGAGGTGATTGCTTCAGTCCATATAGAGAACGACAAGACAACATACAAGGTGATGACCATTTGAAATAGTGAAACCAAGGGGTTGATCCATGTAAACTTCTTCCTGCAACTTACCATGCAAAAAAGCATTTTTAATATCTAACTGATGAAGTAGTTAATGGCAAATGCCAACCATAGCAAGAAATAAATGACCAGAAAGACCAAAAATTTGAGTATAGCCCTTAGCCACCAAGCAAGCTTTGAATCAATCAATATCACCATTCGATCCAATCTTCATTGTATAAACCCCACAACAACTAACTGTAGTCTTGACATGAGGCAAAGGAACTAGCTCCTAGGTTTCACTTGCATGTAAAGTAGCCATGTTGTCCAACATTGCTTGATACTAATGGGGATTAGCCATGACTTTACTTGTAGACTTAGGAATAGACACAGAATCCAAAGAAGAGATAAAAGAAATATTAAAGAGATAATCGGTCATAGGAAAGAGTACAAGCATATAAAGGGTGAGGATCGAATACCATTGCGTAGGGCAATAGAAAGCTCAAGTGCAGGAGACGTTGGTGGATGGGCATTTGGACCAAGAGATGATGTTGGGGGATCAGTAGGTGGAGTTGTCATGTGTAGTTGGGATCGTCATTGATATATAAGTAGTGGTGGTGTAGTAACAACAATTGGGGTCAATACAATAGGTGGAACATCCAAAGAAAGATTCAATGGAGCATCGTTGATAAAGAAGCAAAGAGTTAACTTAAAGAAAGTGACATCAGCAAAGGCAAGATACCTTTGTAGTTGAGGGCAAAAACAATATTCTTTTTGAAGGCAAGAGTAACCAAGAAAAACATATTTAAGTGACTTGGTAGAATTTTTTTTTTTTTACCTGGAGTAAGATCATAGACAAAACAAGTGCATTCAAAGACACAGGAACATAGTGAAGGTCTTGTTGAGGGTACAAAATGGAGTATGGAATTTGATTTTGAAGAACAAATGAGGGCATGCGGTTAATCAAATAACATGCAGTCAAAAGTGCATCATCCTAGAAGTGAAGAGGAACATTATAGTGAAGAAGGGTACGAGCTATTTCAACTAGGTGATGATTTTTCCATTTAGCAACACCATTTTGTTGTGGTGTGTGAGCACAAGGCTTTTGATGGATAGTTCCCTACGAGGTTAGAAAATACTAAAACTGGGAAGACATATTCTCGAGCATTATCATCTCATAAAATTTTAATGGAAGTCCCAAAATGATTTGAAATTTTGTGCAAGAAATTGTGAAAAATAGAGAAAACATCTAACTGATTTTTCATTAAGAAAACCCAAATACAACGAGATAAAATCATCAATAAATGTGACAAAATAGTCATATTTTAAAGTTGAACAAACTCGATTAGGATTCCAAATATCAGAGTGAACTAAGGAAAAAGGTGACACAACACTTTTATTTACACGAGAACTATATGAATGATGAATATGTTTTCCTAATTGATGAGTCACTGTAAAGATGAGTGTAGATAGACCAGGAACCAAAAGATACAATTTTTTCAAACTAGGATGACCGAGATGCTGATGGGCAACATCTGTGGAGGTAGTAGAGACACGTAAACGGTGGTGAAAGTTGATATAGTCCCCCAAACTCATGTCTTGCTCTAATTGTCTGTCTGGTGTGTCAATCTTGAACAAAAATAGAATGATTAACAAGACAGAGAAGTTAAGTGAGCTGGTGAGTTTGCTAACTGAAATTAAATTAAAAGGACAACCAGGAGCAAATAAAATAGAAGTTAAAAAATGTTAGGAAGTGGGTGGATTTGACCAATGCCACAAACTTTAATTTGAGAACCATCTGCGGAAGTGACAAAAGGTAAAGAGTCTGAAAAAGACAGTTGAGAGAATAGAGATTGGTTACCAGTCATGTGATCTGAGGCATTAGAATCAAGTATCTAGGGACCAAGAGAGGAGGTCTAAGAGACAAAGACTACAGGATTACTAGACTATGCCACGGTTGTAACAAGAAGGGTAAGTTGTAACAAGAAGGGTAAGTTGTTCGGCTGCTCGAAATTGGAGAAAATTATGATATTTAGCTACAAAAATAGTAACATCCTCAGGTGGGGCAGGTGTCGAGACTTGTGTCACATTAGTTGATTTTGATTGTTCTCTAATTTTGGTACGACATTCCGCTCCAACGTGGCCATATCAATTACAATAATAGCAGCAAGGGTGACTTTTGCCAACATGTCCTCGCCCACCACAATGAAAGAAGTGTGAGATAAGGGTAGAGGAATCCATAGAAGGGGCAAAAGGTTGTCCAAAAGCATGTGGAGTAGAGAAGCGTAATAGTTGTTCACTAATCATGTCATAGGAAGGAATAGTATGACCCGATAGTATTTGATTACGCACCGAATCAAGGTCAGGTGGGAGACTAGCAAGAGCAGGAACCATGAAGAATTGGCTGCACTATTGGTAAAATGTCTCTGCATTGCAAGCAAAAGGCATTAGATTGACATAATCAGCAATCAAGCGATCAAGCTTACCAAGATATGTCTGCATATGCATATTCTCAAGTTTGGTGGACACCATTGTGGTTTCCACGCTATAGAGACGATATCGTTGAAGTAAACCTTCTTGGCTTTTTTCCAATCCTCATCACAAGTTGTAAACACTTGATATTGAGGTTGAAGATTAGGAGCAATAGAAAACCAAAGAACACTACATAAAGAAGCATCAATTTGCTGCCAACAGGTTTGATTCGTGGTAGGAATATCCGCAGCTCGGGGGGTCAAGTGGTCGACCTTAACCTTGGAACCGTAGTTGGACAGCGGCTGCCTAAGTATTGTAATTTGTTGTTCCAGTCAACTTTTCACACGAAATCAGTGGGACATTTTAACTGTCACAATGAAGGCAAGGTTGGAAGTAGATCCGATGGAGGCCATGAAAAATCAGCCCAACAAGGCCTGGTAGTGGTCGTTGGAGGTAGAAGATTGGCAAGGCAGGGTCGTCAGTGAGTGGGTAATGCCGGAAAAAGGACCACATGGAGGTGCATGAATTTGATATTTGACACGTCGAAAAAAGGTGGCACGTGGAGACGCATGCAGCAGTGGTCGACAACAAGATAGGCGGAGTGGTGGTCGCTAGTGGGAGGTGCTCCTGATTCTGTCTGTAGTCATGTCGGAGAAATGGAGACTCGATGGTAGCCAAAGGAGGTCTACGATGCGATAGGTAGTGTTCACCCATGAGAAGTGCGCACACCGAGGTAGAAAAAAAAAAACTAAAACACTGATACCATAAAGGATTTGTAATCCCAAATTTTTAGCTTTACATATTTTTCATATTTTTAACAATTAATATAAACTTTATGGCAGAAGTACAGTAATCTTGATTTTCTAAAATGCTGACCTAACACAATAGTTTCTCAATTCATTAAGGTACTTTACGACTGAATGTCCAAACATTAATGGATATCCTGCTTTTTTCTTATTCATCTTTATAAACTTTGGTGTGAGATTTTCAGATTGATGGTATTAACCTATAACTTCAAACATATAACCTGTGTCCATTAAGTTCTAAAAGAAAATTTATTTTTGTTGATGTGTATTATACAATCTTAAAATTTTGACAATTTTGACAGGGATTTCAATTTGTAGTTGATGACTCTGGAGGTTTCTCTGCGGTGGCTGCTGAATTTTTAGAGAATATTGTAGATGAATATACGAATATTCCTGTCTTACTATATGCTGTGCAAGGTTCTGGTTCACGCCCAAATCTTCAGAGCAAGAAGCATACAATCTTGGGGGATCTTCATGATGCTGTATCATTTTCAAGACTGTCATCCTACTGTAAACTTATTGTGCCTGTTGGTCTGCCCTCCTTAAGTGAAAGTAACAATCTTTGTCACATACAATTTATTATGTTAGACAGCCCAATAGTCAATACCCTTCCTTTGATAATAGGCAGCAACTAGCAAGTATTGACGTTTAACTTGCTGATACTTCATTAATTTTAAAGCTGATCCTCATTTATATATTTTTATTCTGTTAAGGGTTCTTGTATAAGAAGAGTTCTTACACTTTTTCATCTACGTGAGAATGCTCCAATGCTAAAACATGCAAAAAACGGTCCTTGTGCATAAGAACCCGATTGTGAACTCCCATTGGAGATGGCTTAAATGTCTGGATACCACTGCTGACATTGAATTGTGCTTTACTTTGTTCTAATATTGATTCAATTTCCTCACTGGTGTTAATGGTGCTTGTGTTGGCTGGCAGATGCACAAATTATAGATTTCAATTTTCCTATTCAATTTTACTAAACCTTCTTTTGATGTCTTTATAAGTTTGTTTTTTCATCTAATTTTTCATAGGCAAAGCTTCCAGATTCCTCCACATTGTAGATGAAAAGCATTACCACTCAAGTGCAGTTTATGCTGCTGCACTACACTCAATCAGTCTACCTTTTCGAATGGTTCCAAATGGGCCTACTGCAGATGCATGTTCTGTTTCTGGTGCTGTTGATGTTCATGAAGTCGTACAAATGTTATCAGGGCAAGGAAGACAGAATATGGTGTCAGTTCTGGATGTTGCCATGCCAGCACCAGCTTTAACTGGTAAATGTGAATAATCTTTTGGGATAATCTTGGTAAGAAATGTATTTGATTGGTCTTACTCTTTAAATACAGGGGGACAGAATGAACTGTCTCTGTTAGAGAATATGCAGCCGTTGACCCCACAAATAGCAGAGGATGTTGAAGACATGCAGGCTATTGAACACATGACAGTCCATGGAGCTCTTGCATCAGGTATTGACTTTAACTTTGCCTTGTTTGAAGAGAGTTTTTGTAATTTTAATTTGTATCTTCACATACATAGCCAATAAAAATTAAAGTAATAAATATATTATTGTTGAGAGAAACTAAAAAACTAAAGTCAATAAAAATATTTTTAAATAAATAATAGTATGCCTTATTAATATTTAAGGGCAATTTTGAAAAAAAAATGTAAATTTAGGATAAATTTAATGCTACTAACTAACTAATTTGCTTAATCCTTGTGAAATAGTTAATTGGGTCTTGTAAAAAAGGCGAGAGAATAGTTTCTTATCCTAGTCAACGTATTTAATTTTGAAATATGATACTTTGAACATATAGGGCTATTGGCAAAACATAAGTGAGATAATCATGACACGTGTTTTTACTGTTTTTAGTTTTACATTTTAAAAGTCATTTTAAGAAGATTCTCAAAAAATGTTTATGACCCACTAATGATTGCAGTTTTGATCTTCTGCAAATTTGATGTATGATAGATTCTTCATAAGCATAAATGTTTGATGTGGTCTACTGGAATTATTAACGTGATTTGTTTCCCTTTAGTCTATTTTCTATTCTGTCGATTTCCCAAGTTATATGTCTGCATGATTATTTTTGTCTCAACCCGTCATGTAGAAGGTCATCGCGCTTCAGTTGGAGAGGTAAAGGATACAGTTGATGCTGCTTTTCGATGTGCCAATACAAGGCCAATGTTCTGCCATCTATCTGTTGCTCTTTGTCCCCTACCTATTCCCTTGCCTTTTCCATTAATCTTTGGGAACCATGTTGGCCAGCACGGTGAATTGATGGGTGGTCAAATTACTAATTCTTCACCAAAAGGATCCCTTGACATCCATTCCATTCCCATGGCTGCCAGATTACGTTCCAGTAGTGTTGTGTTACCATTTTTGGAGAGTAAATTGCGAAATCTTAACCGGTTTGGGATTGCACGAGGAGCAGCCGGGGCAGAGATACTTAGGAGTTGGGGCTTTGGCAGGGAAGAATTGGTGGAAATGGAAGAGATGTTGTCTAAAATGGTTGTGGCACTGCGTCCTCCTCATTTGTCATCGGATTCAGATTAGAATATAAATGTTCTTCCCAAAAAGAAAACAAATCAGGAAATATTTGTAAGGTTACTAATAGTTAACAAATTTGCTGTACTGCGCTGGCTGTTAATGCCTTTTGGCATCGTTTGTGTTTCAGGCATTTTGTTTGAGATAGTTGATTTTTTTTTTCTATACAGGTAAAGAAATGTTAATAAAAATGACATGGTTTCTTTGGGACAAAACTTATGCATAATACTATATATACTGTTGATGTTGTTTATCTTAGAGTTAGAGTTTTATCTTAATAATATATATTTATATTTAATGTAGATTTTTATAATATACATATACATATATATATATATATATATATATATATAT